AGGAACAGACTCCACCTCGACATTTTGGAGTCTGTTATTATCAACATACGTAGGCCGGCCCTCTGCGTACAACGGGAGATGAAGTTTAAGTTGGCCTTATTTGGGGGAACGGTTACATGATTTGAGGTAAAACAATTTCCCCCGCCTTACCATCCTGTTTTATTACAGTATTAATAAAAAATTTTCTTGTTAGTACTCCGTTTTAGATTACCGACGATTGTGTTTGAAAATGTGCCGGTCGAAAGGTACCTTACATTTTATGTTTTAAACGTGGATATTGTTGTATCTTATGTTTAATATGATCCCATATTTTTTATTCCTCAAATGTCTGATTAGACTTGGCAGTACTAGAAATCTGTTTATATATATATATATATATATATATATATATATATATATATATATATATATATATATATATATATATATATATATATATATATATATATATATATATATATATATAATATTGAAATTCTCGTTGAAATCTGGCATAAATACTAAATTATGAGATTTAATGTGTTCTAAACTAAACTTTTTCCGTATTTATTTTCGAGACTTCGTTACTTACCTGTGCCAAGGCTTATACCGTTTGTGATAGTTTAATCCTGTTTTCCGACCCGGTTATTGTGTATTTATGGGGGAACTTGGGATATATAAAAGGATATGAGATCTGATAAAAGAATGTAAGAATCCAGCTCCCATAAGATTATATTGAAAAAGAAAGTAAAATAGATGAAAAAATAAACATGATAGATAAAACATCCTAAAACTAAAAACGTTTCCGACGATATTTCTGGTTTTTCCATAATCTTTCTGTTAACGTTAGTCTCCAAAACAAATTTGGCGTGAAAAATTTATGTTAAAACATGGAACACTATAGGGCAATGCGAAACCCAGAAGTTGCGCTCGAGTTTATCAGGCGGTCTGGCATGAATTTGTCGATGTGTCTAAGTTGGCTTAATTCGACAAAAAAAGCTTTTTTTTGATAAATGTGCTTTTACTTCTTTAGCAACTAGTTGATATGAAAAAGAATACCACATCCTGTTTTGGAATATTTTATAAAAGTTAAAATTATACGGTTGAACGAAAATATGACAATTTTCGAGACTAAGCGACAGTCTGCTAGATATTTTACTTTACTAGTTTTTCAACCAAAAAAGGCACAAGAGCCACACAAATTAGAGAGTTACTTAATAAGACTGTTTTAAGAATGTTAGAGAAGTTGAGAAGTGCAGTTTATGAGTGTATGTCGGAAACATAGAGGTCCATCGAGACTTGGAGAGTTTAAGATTGTAAGGGTCGGGGAAGGATCCTCTCGAGGGTTCCATAAAATGTCAGTTCCTGAGAAAAAATTACCAGAATTAAACTTCTTTTTTTTTACGAAAGGAATATAAAAATAATGAGGTTGATTCGCGCCCCTGTATGTGGCGTGGCGGTTTTTAGTCGAAAAGGGCAGAACTGGTAGTACGAAGAAATGTAGCGGGATGATTAAGACGTTTCGAACGATGGGGGTGGGGAAGAAGCTGTAGAGTGGAAAATAATTCATTGCCCATAAGGCTGCGTGGATGCATTTGCTTTCTATCAAGACTGGAAAATGAGAACCGGACAAGGTTAACCTTATCAGGTCGAGGGTTTAAATATTATCTTTATTATATAACCTCATAACCGGCACTTCTTTGCTTCTCTTACGTTATAATTCAATACACCTCTATCTTGAGTGTCTCTCGAGTCTTGTACTGGGGGAAATTAGTGAAAAAATACAACTACTAGACAAAACGAAAATCTACTACCACTAAACAAGCAAAAATACTTTTCTAATCATTTTACCATGTAGTATTCGTCGATTTTACGTCTTTATGGCCGTAATTACTGTAATTCCCCCATGTACAATACGCATTTTTTTCTAAAAAAATAATAAACAAAATCAGAGGTGCGTATTATTCACAACTACAAAAAATCTTTACCATTTCATAGGTCGATTTCAGTTGCGAAATGACTACTCACCACAAACATACGACAATTTGACACTAACATTCGGCGATTGCGACCCCATAAGGATGTCAAATACAATTATATGTACCTAACAGTACTTACAAATTTAAAATAAGAATTATCATAAAACTAAATTAGAATAACATTATTCTCTATTTAAAACCATTTTTAATAAGAGTAGGAAACATTTGCCGTAATTAAATTGGAGAGGTACAATTTATAGGGTTTGATTACCAAACAAGTGTTGCGTATTATGCGTGAGTAAAAGCATTTTCTCACACTTTCAGCACAATTTTAGGTGTGTGTATGATCGGTGAAGGCGCATTATATATGGGGGGATTACGGTAGAACTTTCTTGAGAGTCACGGTATTTTAAACTTTTGTTTTACATTTTGTTTGGGGGTATATTTTGAAAAGAAGACGACTTTCAAATTACGGTTGAATCAATTCACAATCACTTCGTTCAAATACACTTAGGAAAGGCACAAATCCATGTATCTCGTCGAGTTAGGCCAGGGATAACTCTTATTTTTTGGTACAATATAACCTAGTACAATCCACTGCGGGAAAAAATCTGCCTCGTCCGTCATGTATCGAAAGATACACGATCGCTTAAGCGTGTATCACGCATGTCACATAACTGACTGAGTTATTGAAATTAAGCATTGAAAATGGTAACCACATCAGCGTTACGATCACAGCTTGGGAGTTAAATGAAATAAGCCATGTCTGAATGGAAGTAAGTAATTTGAAAATCTAATGTAATGATGAGTATATGAAATAATCGGGTAATACAATGTTTAAACCTATTGGAATGATTTAATTGCAACAATATCTTAGAAAAAAAAAATTCCAGTATAAACCAATCTGTCTGTCTGTCTCTCTCTCAACCAAAACAAACGACGGCGTAGCTCTGCAGTGTGAAGGGAAATGACTCGGCCAGCGTAAGTTTGGGTATCATTGCCAGCAAAATATCCTATCTATCGTTAGTAAGGCTTGTCTTCATTCGACGGTCCATTAATGAAGATTAATGTCGTATTAGGTGAAACCAAAAACATATCCTTGCCTGTATTCGAGACTTGACTACTTAAGCATATTGCAGTGTTTGCAAGGAATTTTTTTTTAAAGCTATATAAATTAAGATTTGGTAGCTGAGGCATTATTAGAACATATTTTATTAATTACTAAATTTCAGACAAAATAAAAAAAAATATATTTATTTTGAAAATTATTTATAAAATACGATATCCCTACTGAGTAGATACTAACGTAAAATAAAATTTAAATAACTTATAATTTACAAAGAGAGATAAAAATCACACAGCATTTAAAACATATATCAAATTATTGTTCTGCAATTTCAGCTTTTAACACTTTAGAGTTATTAGAAATTTTATACTTTTCAAGTAATAGTTATTAAAATAAAACCGAGCAGTTTTCTGTAAAATATTCGCTCAAAATGTTTTTAATACTACGCCTGCGCGTCATGTTTAAATACTAACAACGTATCACGTAAACAAGTCCAAGTAACAACCCAAGTCGAAGTAGTAAGAGGAATTATTAATAAATCTTTCGTGTCTCGTTTGTTTGATGTCGTACGAAAACTGGATGAAAACACACAGATAAAACAATTTTTAAAAAAAATCAACAATTTCTTCATTATAAAAATATCTCTGTCTATATTTCTGAGAGGAGGTATAATTATTACTTGAATTATTTACATTATTCGGACTGTTATCCTCATCTTCATTGTCATATTCACAACGTTTCGGCTTCTATATCTCTGAGATGAAGTAATATGATTACTTGCATTATTTAAATTATTCGGACTGTTACCCTGTCTTCATTGCTATATTAACAACGATCCAGCCGTTGTACGCTCCGGGCTTCTTCAGGTGATTAGAATTTCAGAAGAGGCATGGCCCGCGGGACTAAAACAATCTACCCCCGTGGACGAAATAAAGGGTTCGATTCGAAATTCCAATCACTTGAAGTCCGGGGAGTACAACGGCCGAAACGTTGTGAATATGGCAATGAAGATGAGGATAACGGCGCGAATAATGTAAATAATGCAAATAATATCTTTGCATTTTATCTGTTATTTTTTATTTCCTTTCCGAACGAATTAAATATTTTTACAAGGCCAAATTTTTATCTCCTATCCTTTCACAATACACACAGTTATGTAAATAAAAGATAACGAAAGAAACCTCCATCAATACTGAAAAGAACGATAAGGACTTAAAAAAACTGTTATCCTATAAAATGTTTTAAGAGAAAGATTATATAAATTTCGACCGAAAGCAGTGCTGGCTGCTTGGCAAATGAATGCCAAATGTTTCCTTGTAGGGAAAAGATTATATCAATATCTTTAAGAGCGATAATATCTACTGGAGTTAAGAAACCTGTTTTCCGAAGAAATTGTTTTAAGTGGAAGATTTTATAAATTTCAACCGAAAGTAGTACTCGCTGCTTGGTCAATGAATGCCAAATGTTTCCTTGTAGGGAAAAGGCTAATATCAATAATTGAAACAGCGATAACAGCAACAGGACTTGAGAGATCTCTTTTCCTAAAAAATGTTTTAAGAGAAAGATTTTATAAATTTCAACTGAAAGCAGTACTGGCTGCTTGGTAAATGAATGCCAAATATTTTCATTGTAGGGAAACGGTTATTATTACCATCACAAATAAAGTAAATCAAGTAAGTAGTCAGTAGGTAAGTATATGTTGTTAAATTTTTGTCCTCCATGCATTTGTTTACTCGAATGTTCGACTGTAACAGTCAGTCGGTGAATGCATCATCTCGACACGTTACAAACCTGTCACCAAAGATATTGAAATACAAAATTTAACGCTGCTAAGAAAGAAAAAAAAAAAAAATAAACACATTACAACGAATGAGGGAACAGTTTTCTTTTTACGAGATTAAGGGTCTAGTAGATTGGCATGTGGGTACATAAGTTTACTCTCAAACAATCTTGACTGTCTGCAAGCTGCATTTCACCCTCGACTCTTAAAAAAAAAAAAATGTTTCTTTTCCAGAGATGCTCGAATAGATGATAATAGAGACGTTATAATCACCAGTGCCATTAGATTTGGACAGACCGTAAGGAAACTGGGAATGGGACGACAGTGCATAGATAGCATCTACAATAAATACGCAATTCAATGATGAGGTTTTCCTAAGGCCTTGCCGACAGGATATGTATATGAAGCAATCTGTGTATTCGCCACACCCCTATTTGTCTGTCTGCTTCCTCACGCCTGATTGCTCAACACTGCAGGGTTTTTCGTCTAGAACTTGGGTAAGAGGGTCGAGAGAAACGGCGGGAAATAAAGATATCTACCCTAGGCTCTGTGTTTTTGTCTATGTATTTGTCATCTTTTCTAGCATTCTTCTTGCTATGTGGCCCTATCGTTTACTTTCATTTCATCCTCTTTAGCCCCCCCCCTGTTATTTTTTTAATAGTCTTTTTCTCTCACTTTTTTATTTTCTCTTTCTTTCTTTCTTCGTCTTTTTCTTCTCTTTTTATGGTCTTTTCAGAACTTTCTTTTTTTCTCTCCCCTTCTCTCTTTAGTATACTTCTTTTCTCTCTCTTTTATTGTCTTTTCAAGATTTTCTTTTGTTTCTTTTTTCCCTCTCTCTTTTTACTTCTTTTCTTTTCTTTTAAGATTTTCAAGATTTTCTTTTGTTTCTTTTTCTCTCCCCTTCTCTCTTTAGTATACTTCTTTTCTCTCTCTTTTATTGTCTTTTCAAGATTTTCTTTTGTTTCTTTTTCTCTCCCCTTCTCTCTTTAGTATACTTCTTTTCTCTCTTTTATGGTTCTCTCCGGATTTTCTTTTTTTTTTGCTTTTTTCTCCCCTTTCTTTCTTTAGTATACGTCTTTTCTCTCTTTTATGGTCTTTTCAGAATTTTCTTTTTTCTTTTCTTTTTCTCTTCCCTTCTCTCTTTAGTATTCATCTTTTCTCTCTTTCGTGGTCTTTTCAGGATTTTGTTTTTTTCTTTTTTGTTTAAGCGTTTTTCTCTCTTTCTTGTGCATTCGTTATTCTTTTTACATTTATTTCACTCATTCACTTATCAACGCCTTCTTTCTCGTTAGAAATTTCTTTTTTGTGTTCTTCTTTCATTTCTTCAAGCTTTCTTTCATTCTCCTCTCTTTCAGTTTCATTCCTCTTTTGTAACTTTTTCAAAGTTTCTATTTTTAATATTCTATTTTCTCGTTTCCGTTAATAGCTTACTGGTACGTAAGAGAGGAGTTTCAGCAATGACAGTCCAAAGAGCAGTGAAAAAAAAACTTGAAAATGAAATCGTAAGTGAAACATGTGAGGCACCTTGTTACTTCAGAACAGAAAGGTAGAATGTTAGAAAGGGTGAAGAGCATCTTAAATATTACAGTAAAGAATCTTTCCTTTCGTGCTTCAATTGGTTAGGCCTTTTGACTAAATGATGAAATTTGAGTAATAAAAAAACAACAAAATGATAACAATATTGATAACAGGCCTACTTTATATATATATATATATATATATATATATGCACGCACACACACACACACAAGGTGCGATAGATATATTCTCGTCTAAATCCCGGAAAATGAAAATAGCATTTTACATCACATTTTAGCAGATATATTTACCAAAATTACACAAAAATATCTAGAAATACGAAAGAGCAAATTTATTCAATAAAAATGCCGTTGGCTTCAACCACGGCCTCTAGATGACTTCGGAATCTTCTGCAACTCTTCTGGACGGTCTCCTTGATTAAGTCGACGAATGCTGCTATCACCCTTGCCTTCAGTTCATCTTTGGTGTTATAAGGAGTTTTGTTGGTTTCTCGCTCACCTGCGCCCCACAAATAATTATCAAGGGAGTTGCAGTCTAGGGAGTTAGGTGGCTAGATGAAAGGGATGGTGTTGGTCGCAGAAATTGTTTGATAGCCAGGAATGGGATCTCTTGACCCAGGGCACCACTACCTCCTCAAGGTACTTGATATAAAACTCCGTGTTGATTCTGAGACACTGGAGGAAGATGAATGGAGGCATAACGTCGCCATCACTAGTGATCACTCCAAATACCTTCATAATCACCATTAGACTCCTCCAACTCTTTCCGAATACTCTGCACTGTCCTCAGATTGACACATAAACACTCTGAAATGTTCGTATTGGAGCTTTCGGCGCGATTGCCAAGCAATACAGCATGCTTTTTTTTCAAATTTCTGGTGGAGTTAATTGCGTCACGGTGTTCTTTTTCTTACAGACGATGCCCAACTGACCCTACAATAATATGCAGTCGACAAAATAAAAAACAAAAAAATATAAAATGTCGTCATTTTACCCATCGCGCTCTATATATACGATATACAAATATACATACTAAAATAATAGTGAGTAATCAAATTAAGAAATTAAAAACAACTGGAAAGCAATGCGTTTCGTTAGTCACAAATTAATCACAATAAAATTCTTCAAGAAATCTTAAGGCCATGTGAATATCAGTTGAGTTGGGAAACTAACAGCCACCATACAATATTGATTTCGAGTTGTACACTGCTTACATAGCACTTTCTTAGGTATATATATTTTAATTCTCGAACGTAGTCTGCACATCGTGGCCGTGTTCAGCTCAAGAATATTTACTTTGCAATTCTCGAATCATAGCTTCATTCGAAACAGTTGAAATACACACGGAGACCTACCAAATTCTATCGGCAACATACTCGTAGAAAACACCAACATCTCATCTAACGGAAGAAAACGCTCAAAAATAATAGAAGCCTTAATAATAAAAAACAAACAAGAAACCAACACATATAGAATAATAATAATGATGATGATGTAATAGAGTTACCTGTCTAACCCTTGAGTAACTACACTATAGGTATTAACTCAATATAAGTATCGGTAAGTCAACGGACTAGGGAGTCTAGCTGCGATCTGTTTCAGCTAAACAGTCGAACTCTCTGCCTTTAGGCAGGGAAGAACCCGGACGAGGCTCCACTGAAGGGCAGTGTCTCGTTCGAGGGAGTAGACTGACCCGGAACCCGTTTATGCGGGTTCAAAAAGGGAATATTTTTGGTCGAGCCTACGAGCTCGGAGAACCCACGTTAAACCGTCCTTGTGCCACATGCAACCCTCGTGGTGGGGTAGCTAAATATACTGGCTGCGATCTGTTACTCATGTCTTACCTACAGTCGAACTCTCTGTCTTCGTGCAGAGAGGAACCCGGACGAGGCTCCGCCGAAGGGCAGAGTCTCGTCCAGGGAGGTAGACAGGCCTGAACCCGTATATGCGGAGTTTACGGTGAATTTTTGGCTGAGCCTACAGGCTCGATTGCCCCACATTAAACTCAGCCTTGTGCCACATCCTACTTCGTGGGGTAGGCTGGTAAATATTGTCTAGCTGGAATCTGTTGAGTACGACGCAGACTTACACGAGAACAACCGACCTTCCAATAGTAGCACACACTATTAAATTGACTTGGGACGATCGTGCTCATAGCTTATAGCACGAATATCCTCTAAAATCAAAATCTGAAGTAATATATATATATATATATATATATATATATATATATATATATATATATATATCTGAGTTGACAAGGACTACATGTAATACTTGTGGGCCGAAATAGCTATTCGAATGAGGTAACTTTGGATTTTTTTTATATATATATATATATAATGTCATTCACAGACAGACTGTTTTGCTGTATCACAGCTCATCAGCGTGACTCTCTCTCTCTCTCTCTATATATATATATATATATATATATATATATTATATATATATATATATATATATATATATATATATATAATTAATTTGGAGAATTTTATCACTTAGCTGCGTGGCGTTGATTCAGTCGTACCTACTACTTTCCAAACTAATTCTTTCTGCTATCTATCTATCTATCTATCTATCTCTCTCTCTCTCTCTCTATATATATATATATATATATATATATATATATATAGAGAGAGAGAGAGAGAGAGAGAGTGATAGATAGATAGGCAGAAAGAATTAGTTTGGAGAGTAGTAGGTACGACTGAATCAACACCACGCAGCTAAGTGATAAAATTCTCCAAATTAATTCTATTAACGTTCTATCCTAACTTTTGACATCGAGCACTTTTATGACAAAACCCTGCCTGCCCAAAAGGCTTTTCCAACGGAAAATGAACCAGCAATTCTGGCACTTATCACTATTTGTACGTTTGATGAATTGGATCGTGATTACGATTCCAATGTAATAAAATATAACCATGGAATATTAGTGTTTGAGCCTTTTATATTATGTTCTTGGTCTGTCCTGGACATTAAGCTCTACCTAGATTTTATCCTCTTGTATGTATATATATATATATATATATATTTATTAACAACTAATATTATCTATTTGTCTATGTCTATCTCTCTATTTTTTTCTTACATGAACGTTATTTTTAGTGGATAACCATACTTGAGTAGACGCTCCGTTTATTTATTAAACAACATATTTATTTTGGTCTAGTGTTCTGAATATTCCAGAAATCTTAAATAGAAATGCGGAGTAAGTGGTCATGGTTAAATGTAAATATAATTGACAAAATTGCCCGACAATCAGAACTGACAAATTTTGCAATAAAAAGCTAAGAAATAGAGGAAAAATAATATAATGTAAGCAAACAATATATGCAAGGCAAATTAACAATAACAAGGCAAAGCAACAGTAATATGTTAAAAAAGTTCACAAACTACGAATTGGGTTTGACACACAAGAGCGAATTCGGACAAACGAAGTAGCGTTCTGACTTCAAGGCAGGACAGATTGCAACGGAGTTATATGAAATCGAGAATTAGCCTTTCTTATTGTCTAAGAAGAAATCCCATTGTGAAATTGAGTGAGTTTGACTATAAATTGAGGAGAGGAAGTGTTTTGCCGTTGTTGTACCATTTGAACCAACAAAAATATACGCTCTCCAGCAGGACTCGAACCTGAGTTCCCCTTGGTAGGAGAAACCATCGTTAGATCTAACATGGAAAGATGTGTCAATCATTCCAAAAGTTTTTGAATAACTATAACCGTTTATTTATTAGCATAAAAAACGGGTATATTTTAAGAGCTATCATATAGATAATGAAAAAAAAAACAACAAAAAA